TCTTTGCAGAGATATGTGGCAAATACTCCGCTGAATTAGGGTTATTTTCAGAGCTCTGATTTAAAACACACATAGGGAATGAACGGAAGCGAAATTCAAAAAATGCTTCGGATAAATTTTAGATTTAGGTGTCTATTTTTATTTAAGACCGCCCGCAGCATTCTGCTCTTTCTACCAACAAAGGCTATACATTTTTGTTAAGAGCCCCATCTTGCCCGTTGTCACACAAACACGGCAACGCTTCAACGTTTCGAGCTCAACTTTTTAACATAAGTTATGTACATAGTAAGCATTAATTCCTGTAAGCGCCACCGAAATCCTATGTGAAATAAAAAAGTTATTTTCCTTGGGGGGAGGCTCCTTTAAGTCAGTTGCTTCCTGAATCAATGACCAAATGAACAATGTTCACATACTTCAAGAAGTCTGCCTACAGATACAAAACTATGCTTAAAAAACAGCGGATGAGTTCAAATCATCGCCAGCAATGACCGGTATAGATATAAGCAATATGCCCGTTTCATTGCAAACTGACAAATACTAATTTTTTTAAATGAATTGAAATTGTATGTCTCGTACAACAACGAAAATATGAAGAATAGGCGAAGATCATTGCATCAGCATAAATAACTAAGAAAAAAGGGATATAAGGAAGAGAGATGAGATATTTCGGATCAGATAACGACGGAGATTCGAATTTATGATAGAAATAGAAATAGTCAAATATTTCAACAGTGAATTGAAACGATTGATAGCCAAATTCTGAAATAAAACAGAAAATAATCTTTCGATATACGTCGAAGATTGTAACGGACGAAGAAGAAAGTGTTGAATTGACATGAAAGGTGTTCAGATTTCAATTGAATTGAAACGGTGTATCATAGAAAAGACGCTCAATGTGAGAGTCTGTCAAAAATTGATGGGTTCATTGTCAGACAGACTTAAAATATTTTTTTATTGAAAGATATTGATAATTAATGTAATAATAGTAAATAATAGTAACTATTGAAAGATGAAAAAAAACTAAAGATACAAAAAAACATGTATGCTCTTTGGTATCCACGCCAACATCTTTTATTTTTTGTTTTTGTAGTGTGTGTTATCAAAGAAGAAGAAAAAAAAAAGTAAAAAAAAAAATTAAATAACATACTTTATTAGTTAGTTAAGAAATAAAATAACATAAGAATGAAGATTAAACAACTGTTCACTGACATACATTTGTGTTTCAACAGTAATGAAACGTTTATTCTATATACAAACAAAATAGCACATACACACACACACACACACACAAGATGGACATCAAAAATTATCACGGCAATAATATATATTTAATTCATTCGTGTTGTAGTTCTTATCAAGTAACACAGCTCTAAACAACACACACACACAAAAGCAAGAAATTCAGCATGGATATATTTTTCTTTGAGCAAATAAAACACAATTTATTAGTGTATAAAAACAAAAAAATGCAAAAAGAGCAGATCTATACTGAAATGTACTAAAAAAACACGCATAAACGTTTTTTTGGTTTGGAGAAAAAAAAAAAGAAGAAAAAATAATCATCGTTAGTTTAATTGTGCTTTTTTTTGTTTTCAATCGATCGTTATTGTGAGATGAAATAGACAAATAAAATACACAATAATGGTTTATTAATATAAATTCTTCGAATAAAATTTAAAATAAAAAAAGATAATTTGTTTGTACTATAATAATATAAGGAATAATAACAAATGGATTATGAATTATGAAAAGTGTATTATAGAATAAATATCGAACAAATAAAAACAAAATATTGATTGCATATTTATTAAAAGAACAAAACAACAAAAACGTGATGGTCAAAATTCAAATGTAAATATATAAATATGGTAACGTATTTGTTCAGACTCATCTCTATACAGCACTCAGTTTTACACCTAAAATAAAAATAAAGCAAATTAACAGATTAATTTGAGTGTTTAGAATCCGATATATTGTGCATAGGGAAATGTGATACTTTCCTAGCATTATTACGTTCTCAAATCATCAATATTCCTCAATTCATAAAAAGAAAGTTGCATCATCTCTAAAAGAATATGAATTTAGCGCAGCTCTTTCTATATTAAGTCACACTATCGAATATATAGCGACTATGTAATGGAAAGTGAAAAGACGAATAAAACTAGCAGAACGTTTATGTCTACTTTTTACTTTTAAGCATCATCTGTACATTTCCTCACCTACGCACTGTTTGAATACAAACCAATTTTCGCCATTAGCAAGCACAAAAAATTTATTAGCAAATAAGCCGGTTAGAAGGCAAAATAGTGCAGCAACGCAAAAAATAAAAACACCCTGTTCAATTAGAATAGATGATTTTCTAACTTTCTTTTTCTAACAACTTCCTCGTTTGACGATGCACAACAATATCAGTGAATAATAGCCGTTATGATTATGTAATAAACAAACAAACAAACAAACAAAAACATGCTTTGTTTTTTACCGACTAAAGATACTTTCACAAGTGCTAAGATTTTGCTATATACAAAATAACACTGTTTACTTTCTTGTCGTATTTCTTGCAAGATTCTTGTCTCTTGTCATTTCAGAAAGGAATCTTTAAGAGTATTCCCTCTTTTTTCACTTTGTTGTCAAATGCGAAGCACACGTTCGATCGAACCCAAATTTATACCACAGACAGAAGAGCGAAAAAGAAAATCAGTATATTTTTTCTCAGCATTTTGTGACATGATCTTCTATGGGTGTCCTGAAAAACTCCAGTTTTTATCCAGTTACATTATAATCCCTCGAAAAAGTGATTCGATCGAGTCGAAATTTTACCATAGATACTCGAGATCCTATCTCAGATTAGATGTTTTGTTCCGAAAAATATGCTTTTCTTCTCGAGATATACGAAAAATGCCGAAATCACTGAAAAAAACTGACTCTTCCTGCGTAATTTTCAGCATTTTTCATACATCTCGAGAAGAAGAGCATATTTTTCGGAACAAAACATCTAATCTGAGATAGGATCTCGAGTATCTGTGGTAAAATTTCGACTCGATCGAACCATTTTTTCGAGGGATTATAATGTGACTGGATAAAAACTGGAGTTTTCCAGGACACCCATAGAAGATCATGTCACAAAATGCTGAGTAAAAATATATCGATTTTCTTTTTCGCTCTTCTATCTCTGGTATAAATTTGAGCTCGATCGAACGTGGGGAACAAGATGAAAAAAGAGGGCGGGAATATCCTTACGTTTGTCTTGATAGATCAGACAACATTCTTCCTTTATTTTTTTGTTGATTTTTCATCTTTTTTCGCAAAAGATTGTTGTCTGAAATGGCAAGACTCGTTGACGATAAAGTCACCAATTTGTTCAGTCGACCCCAATGCTATATATAAGTTATATAACATAACTCCATAGCTAGATATCTGTAAAAATTCGTTTAAATCTCACAAGATTCTTGTCGAGAGATAATCGAGTCTTTATATGTTGTGTGCCTGTATTGGCGTCAGAGCAGCTAGCTCCCATATATATGAAAAGAAAACAAATTGATATGCATTCTTTCTGTTTTGCAAGACTGATTGAGAAGCTTATACAGACAAGAATCTTGTTCCAGGTTTTCTTAGAAAAAGTGACAAACCTTGGATAATACACTTGCGTGGTAACAACCTAGCAACGGAAAATGAATCGTTTTAGACCTTGAGAGAGAGAGTTATCTGGTTATTTTTGACTAATCTAAGATGGAATTTAATAGAATTCTCAAAATCTAGATTAAAAATTTAAAATCGCCTATAACTCAGTAGTCATTAAGCATTTTCAAGGATGATGAACTTCACAGGCAACTTCAACGTGGTTCTCATATGTAAAATCGTGACATTTTTGAAAAAAAATTCAAAGGATTTCTTAAATTATTTTTTTAAATTCCTCATTTACTAACATTTCTGCCTGAAAAAAGTGTAATAAAATTCTGATTAGAAGTGGCAAGATAAGAATCTTGTCTGCGAACACCTTCTTGCCTCGACGGACAAGATAACGCTACGAGATCCTTGTCTATCGATGCAAGATAGTAATTACAGACAAGATTCTTATAAGTAAGTCATTTGTCTCTAAATGCAAGGAACAAGATTCTTGTTTTGTTGAACCACAAGTTTCTCGACTAGTGTAAGAATTACAAGACCAAGATTCTTGAAGAAAATTTATGACAAAATGTCTGTCTTGTGATTTCAGTCAAGAATCAGTCTCATAACTCTTGACTGAAATCACAAAATAAAAATTTTAGCCAAGAATCTTGAGATAAAAGTACATATATAATACTTGCAAAGATTCTTAGTTGAAATAATCAGAAATAAAAATCTTGCAAGAAATACAACAAGAAGGTAGACGAGTGAAACCCTTCAGTACCAAACAGACACACTCAGATCGAACAGATATTAGAAAATAATTCGTAAAAAAACGTCATATTAAAGATCTAGTTATCAATGAATATATAAATATCTAGTTTATAATCATTAATATAAATATTCTATGTGACAGAATCGCTACACACATCATCGTTACTTGTTGGTTAGAGATGATAAAACTAGCGACACAGTTAGCTAGAGATAGAGTATCATAAGTATATTACAGTCTAGTTTGAAAGAAGGTGTAAACTCATTATCAAAACTTATAACAGTTTTGTTCAATGAGTGTTTTTACTCATCGATTCGATGAAGAGATCTCTTACCAGATGGAGATGTTTTTGCTTCGTTAACTATGAGAGAGTCGAATAAATCAGAAAAGTTATAGATTTTTCAATAAATTTTTTAAGTAGAAGAATCTTTTTAATCAGACGGATTATTATTATGCACTCAGAATAGAATCAGAAAAAATAATAAAAAGATCGAAGTAAAACGAAATAATGCTACATACTATGTAAAAAACCAAATCATTAACTGAGAACATTAAAAAAAAAAGAGAGTCACAACTACTAATTATATTAGCAAATAGAGAAGAAGAAAAAAAAGAATAGATTTTATAAAATAGAATGTCGAACCCGATGGAGACGATACTCTGTATATTGAACTAATGCTGCTAAAAAATAAAAATAAAATGGGACCAGTAAATTATGATATAAGGAAGGAGTAGAAAGCAAGTCATTTCTAATAACTATGCATAATTTATCTAAAAATATACACCATCTACGAAAAACTAAGAAATTATTGTATACTCATTATAATAGAGGTTAATTAAAACATGCTACTTATGAAAAATATATTTAGAAAAACTTAATTTTTTGAAAACATGTTGAACGGAGAAAAAAATTATATTACGTATGAAATTTAATTCAACGTTCAATTCATATTATTATTACTATTTTAACAGTTTTTATTAATAATAATAATTTTTAATTAGGAAAAATATTGACAACTAGTGGAAGTAAAAATATTTTTCTAATTTGATATTAATTTGAAAATTGATTTTTATGCACACACTTTTATCTAGTAAGTCTAAATGTGATGAAACTCTTCAACATTTTTGTTAATAGTTCAGTTAAAAAAAATCTAATAAAATGGCAATGGACATATTCTGCTAAACATCATATTACAGAACATATATGATTTTGAAATTCATTATTTTATAATTTCTACGTATAGAAAGTGCTTGTGCATAATATAGAGAGAACAATTTGAAATTAAAGCATTAAAAATTTGTTGGCAATTAATAAATATTATATCAGAAAATTTAAAAATAATAATAGGGAAAAAAATAACAATTGTGAACAAATATATATTTTATTATCTTACGTTTGATCTCCATGCACCTAAAGAGAAGAGAAATAGAAGAAAAAAAAAATTCTTACAAAATTGTTCTGTAAAAATAGAGAATCAAATCAGAAAAATAGAAAAAGATGAAATTATAATACGTACCATTATCATCCGAAAAACAATTTTGACAATGTAAACGTTGATTTCTGACTCGAACATCGGTTCCTTCAGCACCCGTTGATAATTGTGTATTACATACACAACAACGAAAACATTCAATATGATAATAGAGTCCAAGACTTTCAATGACCATAGCTGAACCTTGTCCTTGAAATAAAAAATAAAATAGGAAAAAAATTTTTAAATATTTTATTTTTATTTTAAACTTTAACTCTCATCTCTCCAGTCCAATGGCCACTGGAATCAGATTCCTCATTGCATCTGTGCCCCATATTAGTAGAGCATTAGACAGCGTGTCCAAGACTATCACGCGACCGCCGTTGGCGGGATTCGAACTCCATATCTTTCAAGTATGTTGTCTGCCCACTAACCGACTGACGAGGGAACATATCCAATAGTCAAATCGCTAGAGACTTGAAACACGGTGAACTATAGGTTATTTTTGGTGCTGAATCCAAATATCAATACGAGAGTGGCTAATACGGGCTCTGAGACTCGATTTTCTAGGAAACCAGGTTTTACACGGTCAAAAGCCTTTTTTGATCCACCCGTCTTGTAGAGCACACCAAACCACTTATAGGACAGTAGTTTTTTCTCTTCTGGACCGACTTTTTGTTGAATTCTAGGCTTAGTTTTGATTTTTTAACTTTCGGTATGCGCCTTCTTTCAGATCAGAAATCGACATACTTTAGATTCTAGCAGGACAGATGCTTTTTATTTAACGCGAAGAGACCTCTGTCCTTTTGTCAAATTGAGTCTCAAAGTCCATATTAGCCACTCTCGTATCGATATTCGGATTCAGCACCAAAAATAACCTATAGTCCACTATGTTTCAAGGCTCTAGCGATTTGATAGTTGAATATGCTCCCTCGTGAACCGAGCTGTCCGACAAATACTTTGATCCTTGCCGAAAAGGCCGAGAAATGAGTACATATTTTGTAAATAATAACAAGAATAGAAAATTTTACCAAGTTCATCGTTGCATTTTGAACATCTTAATTTACCACTAACCGATAATACACGACTTTTTGTTGGAGATATACTAAAAAGATTATGAATACACAATTATGAAATTAGATCACAAAATGATCAGAATAACTTGATTAATATAACAAAACTATATAAAACATACTCATTTAATCGCTGTTTTTGTTTCATCGATGATTGATAATCATTTTTACCAGTAAGATAATCATATGAGTAAGATTCTGTTAATAATCTGTTATTATTATTCAAATCTTGACGATAGAGTTGCTGTTGGTGATGAGGATAATGTTGTGATGCTAATGTAGAACGTCTTCTATCTAAACTAAATGGTACATGTCCTTCACTATTTGCTGCTGACAACGTTGATATAAACATTTCTTGTCCACTGTTATGTACAGAATGAAATTCGTTCGTGGTTTGTGGACGTTGCTCTGTTGTATATTTTATTTTATGTTCATCATCGCTAATTATCCATGATTGATCATCAAAATTTGTTTTTCTTGGTACTTTATTTAGTTGTGTTAATAATGTTTTGCTAAAATACGAAAAAAACAAAAATATCAAGTAAAATTATTTGAGTGTCATTTATAATTTAGAGAAATTTAGTATTGTTCACTACAAGCATGCTCGAACATAGTCCATACCTATTTGTTCGTTTAATGTCATTGGTTGTTGTATCACCAACATTAATTGTTACTCTTTTCTGTGGTTGATTCGTGGTTAAAAACTGTTTATCTGTTTGTAGACGATGTTGTTGACGATTATGAAAGTGAGGTTGTTGTTGAGGCGATAACATGGCAAATCTTAGTTCATTTATATTTTTATCTTGTAAATATGCGTCAGCTGTCTCTGATCGTTGTTGTTGATGATGATGATGGTGATGATGATGATTATTTGATGATAAATCCTGTACAGATCGTTTTATATAACTCGATATTGGTCTGGTTGTTAATGGTAATGATTGTTTGTGCAAAGAAGAAGTTGATGAATAGGGATTTAAATAATGAATAACACGTTCATTAGGATTTATGTGTAAACCGTATGTCTGTTTAGAATTCAATAATAAATCATTCGGAGGGATATCAAATGAGGGTGATAATGGTTTTTTCAACGATGAATGCAATGATGGAGGTTCATCATCAGATTGATAATGAAGAATTGATAATGAGGATGTAGGATGTTGATATTGAGAAGGAGATGAATATTTTTGAGAATTCGATAACATATCGACTGGAATATTTAATGGTCGATCATACCATGGATCCTAAATATAAGAGCAGAACATATAAAAACAAAAAGCATCGTCTTGTAACTGAAGCCATGCTAATAGCACTTTTTATCAATATCCAGGGGCGTACCTACTGCGGAGTTCTGGGGATGGTTACCATTCCCCTGCTTTCAGAAAAGTTTCTGTTTTGTGTCTTTCGCTCTTCAAAAAAAACATCTTTTTTTGGCAGGACTATACCCATGCTGTGAGATGCTAGGTACGCCCTTGTCAATATCTTAGTAAGAAGGATATAAAATATTTTACTCGTTTATCTAAGATGTAATGTATATTTTTTTAATGAAATAACTTACGTGTTTTATTCCATTTGTTGCTGTGTTTGCTATTGTTGAATTTTCATAAATATTTTTTTTAATTTTAAATCCCGTTTTTAAATCTTCTTGTAATTGATCCATCTGTTTTTCAACATATGATCGTACTTGTGATATTGGCGAACGAACATAATCAGAACGATCACTTTCAATTTGTTGTTGTGGTTTTATTGATGGTACCTGTTCATTTTGTTGTCGATTTAGTTGTTCGCCATTAAATGAAAAGTCGACCGTTGCTACGGATGGTTTATTTGAACTAGCTAATAAATCAGTTGAATTTGGAGCTGATGTTGAAGATGATAGAGGTATTTGACTAACAATTTGTTGTATGGTCGATAATACTGGTTGTGTTGTTTTATTAAGTGGGGATGCGGATGTCGAAAATGATGATATAGTGGAATGAGACAATGCTAACAAAATGAGCATACAAAAAAATGGATAAATTAATAATAAACAGAAATGTTTACTTACGTGTACTTGACATAGTTCGCACTGTTTGAGTAGAGTACCTGAAAAAATATACACAAAACGATCGATATTCCATTTTTAACACAATGAAAAAGTAGCAGAAAACCCTACCTCGACACGTCATCGACGATAGGAGATGTGGTATCCTTTGTTGGAATATGTTTATCAACATCCTAAAAAGACAAATCTTTAATAATGTCTTAATGAGAACGTGCAATAGTTTATCCGAAGACGAAGAATTTTAAACTATCTCATGCACAATGATTGTGTAAAATAATAGTTTATACCGATAAAATAAGATGGTGACAGATAAATGTTGCACCTCTTCTAGTTTAAAATTCTGCGTAAAAAACTCATCTCTATTAAAACTTCTTATAATCAAGATCTTTATAAGAAAACGTACGAAATTCTAAGAATCTAAGATTATGAACGTCTTGAAAGTTTTTGACTTCTTGATCAAGACATGATCTTGATAATTCTTGAATTACCATTTGGTTTCACACTCTTCCTTACATATAACTGTGAAAAGTTTCAGACATATATAAAAGAAAAACATATGTTTACAGGAATGACGTACGTTTTCATCTCTATACGATCACCTAAAATGGCTGCCCGTTTAGGCACCCACTAATGAGGGGACTTCGCGAACTGTCACATCGCTTTTTCAGCCAAACCTAGTGGGTTGTAGGTTATCAACTATGCTGAATCCGAATATCATAGTGATAGCTGCCAAGAGGCCTTCAAAAAGCGGTTTTCTGGAAAACCAATTTTTCAGAAACTCCAAAGAATAACCAAACCTTTCTTAACAGGGCCATAATAATTTAATTTTTGATTAAAATGAGACATCGCCCAGCTCTACACGACCTTTCTTTGCAAAGTTATAGAATTTACAAAAAAGCCCTAACATAAATTAATTTCTTCTTATTTCTGTAGCTTTGAGCTGACAATGAACATTTAGGGTTTTTCTTGTAAATCCTATAACTTTGCAAAGAAAGGTCATGTAGAGCTGGGAGATGTCTCATTTTAATCAAAAATTAAATTATTGTGGCCTTATTAAGAAAGGTTTTGGTTATTCTTTAGAGTTTTTGAAAAACTGATTTTCCAGAAAACCGCTTTTTGAAGGCCTCTGGGGAGCTACCACTATGATATTCGGATTCAGCATAGTTGATAACCTATAACCCACTAGGTTTGGCTGAAAAAGCGATGTGACAGTCCGACAATAAGTAATATTTTACTTGCAAGCACCTATGACATTCTTGTAGCAAGGTACCTAACTCGGGTACCTATGTTGAAGTACATTCACTAGGAAGCTGGTCAAGGATGAGCCTATGACCATATATAACTGTCTGTCTCATGGTTATGGCTCTCATATAAGAAAGAAAATGTGGAAAAATTTTCATTACAATAAAAATTTGCAACATTTTGACTCGACTCGATTCACTCAAGATCTTGAGTGAATCGAGTTGAGTACAAGAAGTTTTACTAAAGCAGTTGGTAATTGAATATACCCAGGGTAAAAAGTTGACAAAAAAACGCGTTTTTCTTTCGTTTTTAACGACCAAAAAACACGTTTTTTTGGCCGGGACTAACGATCATAAAAGGCGTTGTAACTCATTTTTTAACGAAGCGTTTTTGAAGAAAACGACCAAAGAACACATTGGTTTTGAAACAGTTAACATGTTTTTATATAAAATAAACGCGTTTCAACGATCATTTTAACGTCGTTAGAAAACGCGTTCAACAAAAACACCAGAAAACGGTTAATTTAACTAGCCATCGTTAGAAAACGCGTTGTCGAAGAACATATTATTCTGAAGTTTTGAACGACAAAAAACGCATTTAAATGGATCTTTTAACGATTGTTTGCTAGCGTGTTCAGGAAAAACGCATTTTTCGTGCCGTTTCTAACGATTTTTTTCCGCCTGGGTATATATATGTATAACGTATGTTAATACATTAGTCAAATGATTTTGACTAGCTACAACTCAGTCGAGTACCAAACGATTAAGAATTATAATCCAATAGTAGCAAAATTCTCATTAAATCAAATAGAAAAGCACTAAATATTAGCTCTTTCATCTTCTGTCATACATAAAGCTTTTTTTTTATCAAAAATGTAGCTAATATGTACACTGCTGTGTAGTTCAATATCATTGCAAAGCAATCAAACTTTCATATTGAAAATAAACGAAGCAGCTAACAAATTATGATTAAACTTTATTTTATGTCTTTAAGCGATAATAAAAATATAAAACAGCAATAATCACATGTTTATTTCATCTTAGATACGAAAGAGCTTTAAATGTGTCTTATTTACTGTTGACTATATCATAGGAATGTGATAGAAAAGTTAAACATTCTGGTTTTTTTCACCTGTGCAATTGAAAGAAAAGTGTAAATATTTATTAAAAATAATTTCTTATTACCTTTGAATGATAATTAGCGCCTTTTAATTCATTTTCAAACTCGGCTTCCAAATCTTGTAATTCTTTGTCATAGACACTCTAAAATAGTTTGGATTTTTTTAATAGACTAGGGCATAGAAAGTTTTTAATATCATGCATGTGTTGTTGTTGTTTTTTTGGTGAGTGACGTACAGTAAATAGAAGAATATAGACAATAACTATGGTGCAGAGAAACTCCCATACACACACACACACACATAAAGATTGATATACTCATAATCAAACACTACTAAATCTATATAATTAAAGCACTTGTATTGTTGTTTTTAATATTAAAATCTATTATTTTAATTTAAGCATGCGACAAATCACACAGTTAATTTATCCTTTTTTATTATTTTTTGCAAAGTAATTTTTTCATTATGAAAAAAGAAAAGAACAAAGAAATTAAAATTCTACAATATCAACAACCATTTGAATGATAAGCTCACCCGTCACCACTGTTTTGCAAATTTATATTCGACATTGAAGTTTTGCATTTTTTTGTTATTTCTAGTTTCTTTTACATTGCAGAAAGTATATACAAGTATCGTCCATCAATTGTTAAATAAAAATCAACCATCACCAGATAAAAAAAAAGCATTCGAACATGCAATAGACAATTAGTTTTAACATTTAAAAAGTCATTTAGGTTTATTTGACTAATATGTTTGATTAACAGATATAAGGGAGCTCTTTAAAGTTGGTAACAAAAAAAACAACAACAATAGAAACGTCAAGATAAAAGACATGAAAAAACAATTAATTTTTACTTCATTAGCTATTGTGTGAAAACATTAAATAGATGTGTTATTTATCTGTTTTATCATATTTACCGTGCACACAAAAAATAAAAAATAAAATTAGAAAAGAAGTGTGTGATTGTGCATTAGAAGAAGAAAGATTTTAAAAATATTTCACACATCAGTCTTTTGTAAATTCATTATGTAAAATCAAACATTTTGTACCTCGTCGAAGATTTTATTTGATTTAAATTGATTATTAAATAGAGATGATGATGGCAATGAAGTAGATTTATGAGTTAGATCATTAGTTTGTAACAATTTTTCTTGATTTGTTGATAATAAATGTTTTTCAGCAGTCATTTTTCGAAAGGCTTGAACCGATGAATGTGGCTATAGAGAGAGAGAGAGAAAGAGAGAATAAAAAAAATAAAAAGAAATTTATCGATATGTAAATTGTGTCTATATCGCATACGTTCGAAAAACAAATGATTTTGCGCGAGTTTCATGAGATCGTGTTTATCTTCAAGAAATAGAAAAGCCATGTCATTGCTTTTGTGTAAACTACAAAATGTCACTTGGTGATTAGCAAAAGAAAAGAAAAAGATGAACATAAAATGAAATCGAACATAATGATCCTGTGTGTGTTAAAGTAAATGTTTGTTTTATACAACAATTTCTGTTAGAGGGAGAAATTTCTTCCTTATCTGGGAAAAATTACTCAGAAAAAATCTTAGTTACTCACTAAAATTTTTGAAGTGGTATTAACATATTTCCTCATCTAGGTAACTTGCTTACTAAGACCGCGTTCCTTGTCGTCATTGCTTTTTCTTACGGACATCCGTTCGGATGATTGGATATTCGGAATGATAACCAAAAACAATCCGGATGTTGAAAATGAAATTCGTCCGGGTGTACGGAACGGCATGAGCCAAGATTTTTTAGTATTTTTGTATACAAAAACGATTTTATGCTATATAGACTCGATTTTGAGCATCTCGTCACTTGATCAGATGTCCGAAAGACTAAGGACAAAAAAGGACAACTCAAAAAGGGCAAACACCTCGTTGGTATAAGCTTTATTCTGTCAGAATTACAAGCGGAAAAATATTCCATTGTAGTATTCTAAACTACAACTATCGAAAAACACAAAAGCAATTTTGTATGAATAGAAATTCGAATATATGAACTCAGCTTTGCAGTAAACTGCAAAACTAAATTTAATGTTCTGTATCTATCTTCTGTACAACGATTGAAATTGTACAATCGATTCGATGTTATCAGCATTATTTTTCTTTTTTTTGGTGTGTTTTTTATGTTCTATTTTTGATATAACACAGCACACCTTGCTATCATTCGTTCCATGTTTGAACAATACGATTCTTAATTCAGTGAGAGAGAGAAACTGGTATCAGCTTAAGCTTTTTGAGCTACACGCTGCTTATTTAGCGGTAACTGAAATAAATGACAGTCACCCTTTAAACAATTACAGTTCTTACGAGGGAGGAACTATTACTCTGACGAAACATAGAAAATATGTGGTCAACAAAATGGCTGAAAAACTAAACATTTTTTTTCTCAATTTTTTGCGGATAAAAATCTTCTATTTGCGGCAAATTTTATCTTCAAAATAATAGGCAAAATATACCTGTCTATCTATTTGATAATCGAAATTTTCTTTCGAAAGTCTTATTGAAATGAAACTTTAAGTTCTCAAAAAATAAAGTGCTTTAGGTGCTAAAGATAGTGGACAGAATGCTGATAAACATGTGCGTATAATCTGTACGATGTGTATATGTGCATCTAGACATGTGTATAGTAAAAACTATAGAATTTTGTTTATTTTTATGCATTTTTACCATTAATGTTAATAAATCTTTTCGAGAAAATTTTAATTCCTGGAAAAAGTATAGATGAGTAAAACGAAAAATCATTATTTGCTCAAAGATTTAAAAACATATTTTTAGAAGAAGAAAACAAAAACAGTTAAAAGTCACTTACCGTTCCATCCGTGCCTGTATTATCAACACTGTTTGGTGATCGAAACGGTTTTGGTGCAAATATATTTAATGATGATGTTCGATTTGGAGTTGTTGTTGTTGTTGTGATTGTCGATTGTGTTGGAATATCAGCCGTTGGTAACGGTGTATAGGGTAAGAATGTATAAACAGGAGATGACTGCTGAAGTATTGTTAATGATGATGTAGACAAATTTAACACTGGTGAAGAATAATCGGACGACAGCGATTTAATGTTATTAGTCGTCATTGGAATATTTAAATTATTGATCAATTTTGAAGATGGAGATTGTTCTCTATTAGTAGAAATAGATTTATTATTCGAGTTTGACAATTCGTTTAACGAATGTTGGGTAGAATTAATATTAGTTTTCATATTCGATGAAGGAGTTGTTGTTGTTGATAATAACTTCTGAGGACTCGGAGTACGACTGTGATATTGAGTTGGTGCTATATTTGGAGAATTTTCATCGAATATTTCTTAAATAAAAAAAATAGAGTTTGTGGTTTTTGACGCTAACAAAAAACAAGATCTTGGTTGATCGGTCTCTGTCTCGCGATTTGATGTAGTAGTTTAGTTTAAGTTTAACTGTTCAAACTGTATTTTTGAGAAATGTTTAAATTGAACAAGAAAACTTTAAAGTAATTAATGCATTAGGTGATAGAAATGGTAGGAAGAACGAAAACGCAAAATGAGCAGTGAGTAACGACTAGAATAATAGTAGATCAGAATGTATGTGTATGTTACATAAGTTTTTTTTATTTTTTTGTCTGCATATGACACTGATGATGTTGACTATTAGTCAACTTTCTCAATAGGACGAATGCAATTGAATCTAATATTATAATAAGATTTTGTTGACGTTGATGCGTCGATAGTATCATTGTGTTATGTACTATACAAGCTCCTGTTTGATGTTTCTTAGTCTACCTTCATTTAATTATCTATTGTGCGCGTATGGATCATAAGGTAGAAAAAATCGACTGTTCCCAAAATATCTCAACAACTACAAGATCAGTTAAATTTTTGTCTACTGGAAGGGCACATCCACACAATAGATTGAACATAAAGTGAGAAGGAACCATATTGATCGGATGAACCGTTGATAAAGAAGTGTGTGTGACAAAGTTTATTCTTGACTTATTTTTAAAAGGACCACGTCTGTTTTCATTCCAGGTTTCCGTTTTTTGAAAAAGTCCGGATGTTCGGAACGATAACCAAAAACAATCCGGATGTTGGAAATGAAAGTCGTCTGGGTGTACGGAACGGCATGAGCCAAGATTTTTTAGTGTTTTTGTTGTATTGACAAAAATGTCTGGATATTCGTAACAATCCCTCACTTTTTTGTTACGAACACCCGGACGACTTTCATTCCGAACATCTGGAAAAATGATTTTATGCTATATAGACCCGATTCCGAGCATCCCACCACTTGGTCGGATGTCCGGAAGACCAAGGACAAAAAAGAACAGCCCCTTTTAAAAGACCGAATGTACTAGAAACTTAACCTGGACTAGAAGCATAGCTTCGAGATAGAATAAAAAGAAGATTTTTACCTTCGTAAGTTCGAACAACTAATTTAATCGTGCCTTTCGATATTCGATCTTTTAATAGTTTTCGAACTTGTTCAAATGTCATTTGTTCAATATTTTCATCGTTCATGTATAACACTTCATCATCAACATTTAAACCACATTTATCCGCTGGACTATCTGAAAAAACGAAAATTAATTTGAGCATAACGAAAACTATTGATGTTACTTTTTTAAATTCCTTACTATCTTCAAGTGATGAAACAAAAACGGGACGATTATTTCCTCCATCAAGTTTAAATCCAAAACCACGTACATTTATTGGTTTTTCTATGAATATTTCACGTATTCTAGCAGGTCCCTTAAAAAAAAATACAAAACAACATTTGTTTTTTTCTTCTTCTTCTTAATTTTCTTTCATTTAGGAATAGGTTATTACTACCTTTGGATGTGGTGATGGACTTTTTGCTGGAGAAGGACGTTGGTTTAATGAAACAGCATTTGGATGTTGTGATATCACCGAGAGTTTATTCACCGAGTTAGTTGTATTGTCATTTTGTTTTTCTATATAGTTTTTATTATTCAATGGCGAAGAGGCGGTCGTATTTTTCTGTTTGTAATCATTGTTTAATGGTTGTATCTTTGTATTGTTACTGTTGTTATCATTATTATTTGTTGTTGCTGATAACTTTGTTATATAATCATTGGATTGTTTCTTCTCTATCGGTCTTAAATGAAATAAATAAAGATAAATTGTTCTATTTAACAAATAAAAAGGTTTTCTTCTTAATTTCATACTTTTTAATTGAATCATCTTCATTATCAAATGATTTTGTTGTATTACTTGTATTTTTTTGCCTCTTTTGTTCACGTTTTTGTCTCCAGTTTTCTACCGCCTTGAATAGAATGAACAAAATTATTTAGAACATAATGTGTAATGAGTAAGAATCTCAGTTTAGTACACGAACATATTTGAAAAAGAAAAGATATTACACGCATTAATCGTTAAAAACGAATAAATAACGAATAAATTTTCTAATAATTTCAAAGTAAAACATTCAAATATATTGTTCAAACAACAATCGATTTAATTAAACGTTTTTATTGTCAAAATATATATAATTCCTAAACAATTTAATTTTACTACCAAAAAGAAAACAAAAATTGATTACTCACAATATCAGGTTGACGTGTACTTCCGCAACCCATTTTTTATCAGAATATAACAGGTTTTTTTTCTTTAATAGTGAGTATGTTCACAACTGTCCTCAATTACACAATCAGCTCAAGCTGATACCTTCGTTACAGCAACATTTTAAATAATTTCTTATTCAATTTTTTTACATGATCGATTGTGTATGTGTTCATCTGTTTTCTTTTTTTATCCACATTCTTCTTTGAAACATGTTTACAACTGATAACGAGAGAAAAAAAAGATGTATAAAACTTTAATTGAAATAAGAGTACACATACATACATATTGATTCTGTTTTTTTTCTTTTTAAATGTAATAGTATAGAACTCTACATTTTAGTAACAGGCACGGTTGGCACTCTCGTTGTCGAATGTCAGTATTTTTGAGGAAATGAATACTGTTTCTCATTTAGACCAATACCCATGGTATGATAGTTTAAGAAAGTGCTGTTAAAAGCAATAGGTAAGAATTATATCACAGAAGAATCTCTTTATGTGGATACTTTGCGATCCGAACGACTGTTCTTTGCTGAGAGTGAACTTTTTTAATTGTAATTGAAAAAGAACGTATTAGGAAGTTTTGCCATAGAGACGAACGTTCACACCCATCTATTTTCATCTCAATATAGAGAAAATAAATCTAGAGATGCTTGGACTCAAACGTATCTAGATGTAAATTTTTTCTTCTGATTATGAACCTCTGTCTAGATGTGTCTTCTCTCAATCTCAAACGAACATGTTTTTTTCTCTCGATTCAACAAACGTATTGCCACACATTTTAGAGCGTTTGGATCGATTTGAACTGTACGACTTAACTAGTCGATAGAGAAATCCTTTTAAATTAGATATTCTTACCGGAATGGTCGACAACTCTCAAAGACCATCCTAAATCTACTTTTTATAGACTGTAAACTTCTAGAACTGTGGCAAGAGAAAAGTCTTAGAAACGACAGGGACGATTATCTGATGAAATCGGCCCATGTCTGAATTTCATCGACTAATCAATGGCTAGATGTAGAATGAAGCGGGAAATATTTCTAGGTGCTTACTAGACCTTAGAACCACTCTTAGAAAAAAATTGATAGAATCAAATTTGATTAAGTTTCTACTGCATCTGATATATATTATAGATCGTGGTTTTGAATCTTTCTCTCTCACTTTCACAATTCCTCACGACTATTATATATCATTCGAAACCTTTTTTTTGTTCGCTATATTTCTGTATATCATATATATGGAAATAATTGTTCTGAGGTCAAGTATGTTTAGAAATACTTCTGACTAGAGAAAATGATCTGCCACGTGCAAAAAGTCTTAGATATTCTATGTCAACAGTTCTCACTCGGCCACTACACTAAATATACCCATTCGATAGAGAATCTGTCGAGCTATAATTTGATATATATAATATAGAGAAAAACGTGTCCTAGGACACATTGAAATTAGAAATGTTTCTGCAAAGCCAAAATTCTGCTCGGAATTCTCAATTTTCTCCATCGGAACTCAACTTTTGTGCGATAAAAATATCATATTCAGAATCAGGATCAAAAACTGACTCGACCAATGTGTATTTTGAAATTTTTATTTGGTTTTCATTTTTAGTGAAAATCTCAGTAATTTTTCAGCATGAAAAGTTGATAACAACTAAAGTAGTCAGATAGAATGGAAATACACATCGGGCGACTCAGTTTTTGATCCTGATTCTGAATATGATATTTTTATTGCATAAAAGTTGAGTTCTGATGAAGAAAATTGAGAATTACCAGCGCAATTCTGACTTTGCAGAAACATTTCTAATGTGAAGGTGCCCTAGGATACTTTTTTCTCTATATTATATATATATCAGCTTGTAGCTCGATAAATTCTCTATCGAATGGTACATTTATTGTAGTGGCCAAATGAGAAACGTTGACATAGAATATCTGAGACTTTTTGCATGTAGGAGATCATTTTCTATAGCCAGAAGTATTTCTAAACATACTTGGCCTTAGAACGGCTATTTCCGTATATGTGATATACAAAAATATAGCGAAGAAAAAGAGCTTTCGAATGATATATAACAGTCGTGAGGAATTGTGAAACTGAGAGAGAAAGATCTAAAAGTATGATCTATAATATATATCAGATACAGTAGAAACTTAATCAAACTTGATTTGACTAATTTTTTCCTGAAAATGGCTGCAAGGTCTAGTAAGTACCTAGAACTATTCCCCTCTGCATTCTATATCTAGCCTTTGATTAGTTGATGAAATTCGGACATGGACCGATTTCATCCGAAAATCGCCCCACGTCCTTTTTAGGCGTAAGTTGGGTACGCGTACAGAGCTTGAGTATAGGTCGAAAAAAGGTACCCATGCACATCTCTATATTATGAGCCAGTTTTAAATATGTTTTACAGTTACAAAGAAAAATCTGATAAAACATTCAACCCAATC